GAGGGGTGCAATGGCAACCATTACCAGTCTAGCCCAATGGGGGATTGAAGGACCAGGAAGTATTTCCTTGTTAATGCAGCCCATGAGGGGGGGAGTATTTAACCCTTGCAGTGGAATGAGCAGGTGTTTTTTTCTGAACTAAAACCTCAGCATTTGAGTTTTAATTGCAGTATTGGCACTACGAAATAAATAAATTGATTTTGTGTTGCAGTTTGGGCACTCGGGCTCAAAAAGGTTCACCATCACTATCCTAAGTCTTTATTGCTAGATCATCTTATCACTGTATTAATACAATATTTTAGCACAAAATCACCTCTGCACACATCCAAAAAAGTCAAAAGTGATATGAAATAGAAACAACTCCAACAAACTATAGCAAATTAGTATGTATTTGTGGGATTTGTGTATGTGTGTGTAGTTTATGGAGCATTCTGGAAAATTGTCCCTTGTCCCTAACACTACAAATCTTTAACAATCCACTGGTTTTACAACAGATTGTAAAAGGAAATAGGGGGATCGGCATAAGGCGAGATCAGAGGAGCGATGTCTGTGGGCTGTGGCACAAATCAAACTGAATTGGATTAACAGGCCAGTGTGGACACTGAAATGATCAGCATTCTGTGTGTGATCACCTAATCCAAGTAGAAGCATAAAATATTCTGTGGATCAAGCCATGGCAAAGCCAAATTATTCCAGTTTGGTTTGCCAGTGTAGTCACAGCCTGATAATATCTGGCTTGATTTCACGTCCTCCAATACGTCTCTTCCTCTACCCCGTCATTTAGCTACATTAAGGTGGGAACAACACAACCAGGACATATGTACCAGTCCCCCTCATTCCTGTCTTACAGCAGAACACTTCACCCTGTGAGAATTCTGATTCATCCAAACACATCGACTAACACCTTTAAAGGAGCTTGTAGCTGGTCCTTGAGCCATCCATTACTTCATACATTAGAAGAACTGGCCTGTTTCTTTCAGGAATGCCATGTGGACTAGTGACATCCCCGCTGTGAAAAAAGGACTTTAAAGAAACTGGGACTTTAAAAGAGAAGAAGAACCAAAGAAATTTGTGCCCAAACCCCTGTGTAAAACTCTCCAAAATGTCTTTAATTTGAAATGAAATGAGATGGTTCTAAATCTAAAACTCTATCCACATGTTGTGCCTTGCTACCAGAGATCACCATACGGTGGCAGCAGAACAGCAGTAACCAGCTAGGGAGCAAAGGGCATCATTCTCAAGGATTTTTAAAAAAGAAAAAAACACTTTAAATGACACTGATTCCAGTGTGCATGGCAATTTCCTGAATCATTCTGCAGCTCCTGTGTGAGCACTGATTGAGATTTCAAATGCAATATCAGTGTCTTGCAGACTGTGAATCAAATTGCAGCAATCAAAATGATTTGACTTTCCAGTGTAACTGTAGCCTTAGATAGTGGCATCTATCTGCAGTCAATCAACTTTGATTGTAAGGGTTCCTCCCCCCCTTCATAGGCCAAGGATGTGCCATCAGCATAGCTGAAGGGCATAGCGTTCTTTACAACCCCTTTGGGCCTCATAAGAGCAAAAGCTACATGGCATGCCACCAGGACAAAGGGGTTGTCAGTTGAAACAGGTTTGAACCATGTGTGGGAGAGGTTCCGTGTTAGCCCTCCCAGCTGCATGGATGCTGCAGCTACCAAGATCCACATAAGAATAGTTTTGAATGCACACTCTAAATCTGTATCACTTTTCCTTGGTTTTCCTTTCTCTTTGTAGTCATGCACTTCTTTCCCTCCCGCCCTCTCTCACTGGTGAACAAGTGGTACTTTTGGAAGTACAGGTACTTATCATCATAATTAAACGGTGGGGGGGGGAGGAATGGAAAAGAAAGAGGTGGAGGGGCAATGGAAAAATGTTGTGGCACCTTAAAGACGAACAGATTTGTTTCAGCATGAGTTTTTGTGAGTAAAAATCTACTTCTTCAGACATATGCAGTGGATTCTAGCTGGTTTCATTTCTATACAACTAGATCACTTTCAGCCATCAAATCACTCTAAAATGCTTTGCAAGGAAAGAGGGACAGCTAGTTGTTCCTGAAGAAATCTGTTTCTCTCATAGCCATTGCAAGGATCACAACTAAGCTCAAAGTGGAAAGGAAAGTCTGAGAGGGGTGGCAGGACATATCATAGTCCCTGTGACTCTGATAGTCCCACATTTTTGACCCTGCAAACCCTGGCTCCATTACACCACTATCTATTCAAACACATGTACGAGTAGATAGCCAGGTGGGAAATGTACCAAAATCAGCTCTTCTCAGCCAGATTAGAGAAAAAGAGATGGCCTTTTCCTTCCTGATCCTCCCAAACTACTTGGGAGACGATCAGAAGAGACTTCTGATTCTCATTCACTCCTCTGCTTCCATCTGCCTGTTGTGTGCCTGTTTTCTCCAATTGCAATCAATGGTGATAATGCCCTACATCCTAAGCAGTATTATTTTTGCATATCACTTCCATGTTGTGTTTCTGTGAGTGGAAAAATAACACATATCAGTGAGTTGGAGTCATATTTAGTAAGATGTGACTGGGCTGTGGGAAGTGGGTTTACTTGTTCCCTCCTCTTAACTTCAGGCTGTCTGCTACTATCACACTACTGTCTTTTTCATTTCTGTACTGATTACACCGGGTTAAAACCAAAGGTTAGAGTAAAGTCACCGAATGCACAGGACTTGTAAAATCAGTGCTGATGTACTGTAAGTACCACTGTTTTTGTGTGTTCAGTGTTGATAGGTCTCATAATTGGATTGTGAGCCCTCCACAGGATTTCATTGCTCTTGCAAAAATTTGAACTGTCAGAAAATTTAGCACTGGATATGCCTCTAAGATGCCCACTATGGCAGCTTCCCAGAAGGGAAAATATACCTCTGTTTATCTTGTTAAGGGTCTTCTCTTATAGATAACCAACTTGATGCCTTCCAGATGTTTTGAAGTAGATCCTGGAAAACTATTATCCTTTACCTTTGATCTTGTGGCTGATGGAAGCTATTATTCAACAACTGGAGGAGACCCACTTTCACGCTAAGCCATCCGTCTTTGCCTACTCCCTTTCCCATGGAACATCAATAACCTCCTAATAAATCTTAAGGGTTGTATAATTAATTATTGGCAGAAATATTCCTGAACAAAACAGCACCTAAATGCTTCTCTGAACATCGGCGAAAATGGTAGTGTACTTATCAGTGTTGATCTCATGCAAGTGAAATGGAACCAATCTGTTGTATTGTTTATTCTCTGCTTTCCCCGCCCCTGCCCTCCCACCCGCAGTTGCCTTTGTCCCCTGCAGATGTCCCAGCCAGAGGAGAAGAGGAAATGTCCACCTTCAGGCACTTCCAAAGAAATGACGGTACGCGACAGGGAATCCTACTACTTCAGCGTAGTAGTCACAGGGTGCGTAACTTTCGCATTGCTCATGCTTCAGCTCCATTGGGGACTTGAACATTTCATAGTACCTGGGAGAACAGAAATAGGAAGAAGAAACACTATTTTGTTATAATGTTCTTATTGATATTATTTCCATTTTGTTTAAACTGCATTGATTATTTTGTCTTATGGTTCTGTTTTATTGTATTGTTTTGCTTTATATTGTATTGTATTATTGTACCATGTAAACCACCCAAAGTGGCCAGGGTTGCCAAATGGGTGGCATCATCATGTGATTTTAGACTCTGGACTAATGGTTGTATTAGTTGAATACCTATTGGTGATCTAGCAGTGGTTCTCAAACTCAGATCCTCAGATGTTCTTGGACTTCAACTCCCAGAAATCCTCACCAGCACAGCAAGTGGTGAAGGCTTCTGGGAATTGCAGTCCTAGAACATCTGGAAACCCGGGAGGCGGGGCTTTGTTGCGGCGCTGCCAGTAACTCCAGAGAAGAGTTCTCTGATGGGGCAATAGAATGATAGCCTAGGAGTTTGTCTCTGCTTCCTTTTCTTCATGCAGATTTGTTTTCTTTGGCTTTCTCCCCCTCCCCTTTCTGTTTTTGAGGTCACTTTCCATACCTTCTTACTTATATCTGTGCTGGAAAGAGGATAATCCATAGTGGCCTGTAGTGACTAAGCAGCTCTGGATACACAGGAGCCAGAGTTACAGGCTTCTCTAAACAAGTTTAGACATCTACCCTCCTGTGTTATCCATAGATATTTTTAAGCAAATTTTCATTTTTGTCTCAACAACAGTCTCCAGAACAGTTACTCCTGTTTAGAACCCAGAGAACTAGACTATTTGAATCTGCAAATATAAATATGGGATAGTCAACATGTCTGCTTCCTCCCACAGCCTTTAAACTGGAAGGTGTAATACTTCCCTGGGTACTTCTACATGTAGTAAGCCAGCCGGGTTGCACTATGTTAATGGGCTCTCCTGTTCATATTGCTGAGTGGTGCCCCAGCCATTTGCCCCCAACAATTCTGCTTTGACATGATGGCAGCACTTGCAAAAAAAGATTTAAGATGGGGTATGGGTGGAGACAATCATGACAACCAACGCAGTGTAGTGGGTAAAGTGCCAGACTAGGATTAAGAACATATGGATTCAAATCCTCACTTGGCAATGGACACTCACCAGTGAGTGGCACTAGTAAAACGACTCCTTAAATATCTGATACACCTGAAAACCCTACTAAGGTTGCCATGAGTTGGAGCCAGTTTGATAGCCCATAACACAAAGATAGATGGAGTCCACAATAGACCACCAGAGAAACAAAGAAGAACAAATGAAACCTGAACTCTCTCTGTAAGTGAAACTAAGGAAACAAAGGCTCTCATACTTTGGGCACACCATGAGGAGGCAAGTCTCACTGGAAAAGAATACCTAGTGCTACTAAAAGTTGAAGGTAATTGGAAAAGAGGAAGACTAAACATGAGATGGAGCTGCTGCATCTTTATTGCACATTTGATGCAAAAATAAAATTGGTTCTGGTGGCACAACACTATGAACTGCACTCAGTCCAGTGTACATGGGGTTATTTAGCAGAGAAGAAAAGTTGACAACTGATCAATCATTCCATCCACTGACTGGATGAGATTAGTCAGCCTTACATTATTTTTTCTATTTCCATATGCATTTGAGAATGCCAACTACATCTTTCATACACGCGAACATGTAATCACACCCCAGAAGCCATTTCATAAACAGCAGATTTAAGATGGGGTATGGGTGGAGACAATCATGACAACCAACGCAGTGTAGTGGGTAAAGTGCCAGACTAGGATTAAGAACATATGGGTTCAAATCCTCACTTGGCAATGGAAACTCACCAGTGAGTGGCACTAGTAAAACGACTCCTTAAATATCTGATACACCTGAAAACCCTACTAAGGTTGCCATGAGTTGGAGCCAGTTTGATAGCCCATAACACAAAGATAGATGGAGTCCACAATAGACCACCAGAGAAACAAAGAAGAACAAATGAAACCTGAACTCTCTCTGGAAGTGAAACTAAGGAAACAAAGGCTCTCATACTTTGGGCACACCATGAGGAGGCAAGTCTCACTGGAAAAGAATACCTAGTGCTACTAAAAGTTGAAGGTAATTGGAAAAGAGGAAGACTAAACATGAGATGGAATGACACAATAAAGGAAGCCACAACCCAGAGCTTGTAAGATCTGTGCAGAGCTGTTTAGCGTCAGGACCTTTTGGAAGTTACTAACTCATAGAGTCACCATAAATCAGAAGCAACAGGATAGCATGTAACAACAACAATAACATGGCTGAAGAGCAAGTTTAGATCCAGTGTGGTGTCATGGTTAAGAGTGTTAAGCTAGGACACAGGGAGCCTGAGGTCAAACTCCAATGCCACAATGGAACTTATCGGGCACCCGTAAGTTAGTCACACAAACTTGGCCTCTCAAAAGTTTCTCCACACATTCTTCCAAATCAGTCTTTATGGATTATTGATATTAAGCTCTTACCTTTCATAATATGGATAAGACCTCTTTTGCCTTCTCACAAAGGCATTGGCTGTTTCTCTATTTATCTTCACCCCTGCTGTGAACAAAGAATTTTAGAATATGAGAACACAGAAACTTTTATTAACCAGTTGTTAAATGGTTTCAGAAATGAAAACCTCTCTTGTATTCTGTTCATCCAGCAGACTGAGCCTCAGAGCTGTGCTCTGGATTAACCTGGAAGTCCATTGAAATAACACATTTTCTTTTTACAAGTATCCACCTAGCAACAACACCTGTTCTGCAATACTTCCCAAAGTGTTTCATAGAAGATGTCTCAGTGAGTTCTGCAAATCAATTAGATGCCTATGAAAGTTCATACAATATTTTTATCTATACCCACTTCTATCTGTTTGCAATCTATACCTGTTTTTGGAACTGCCCTGAGCCTTAGTCCTGGGAGAAAAGCAAGGTGTCAGCAAATTTTTTTAAAAAGGAATAATACATTCACACCTCTTTCATCAATTCTCGAAAGACTGGTTCTACAAACCAGGAGGACAGTTACTCTTCGTCTTTTGGAGCTTAAATGTCTGATGGCCACTGGTAGAAATTTTCTTTTAGAATCCATTCATGAACTTCTTATTGTCACAAAAATGTGTCTCACAATTGACTGAACTTGTTTAGTTTCTTAGCAGGACTGTGACTTAAGTTCCATTTTACAGAAGGTAAGTGACAGAGCTGCTGAAGAATCTTCCATGCCAAAAATCATGACGGTGAAGTGGAAAAAGTCCATTTCACTTCTAGGGCAAGTGGCTGAGGTTCTGCCTTTTCCTCCATGCTCCCTCAAAAAATGGAGGAGTTTCTTGTCTTGAACCACCTTTGCTCCAGAGTCACCTTCATCAAATGATATCTGACTAAGTGGGCTCCAGTCCCTGAAGACTTATGCTACAATAAATCTGTTAGTCTTTACGGTGCCATGAGAATATTGTTTTGCTGCAACAGATTAACTACTTCTCTGGATCAGTTTATTTCTCGGTCTTTTACTAGAGGACTAAACTGGCAGAAAGTACTCAGTCTTTTACAAATCAGTTTATTTCTCAATCTTTTACTAGAGGCCTAAACTAGCAAAAAGTACTCAGGTCTTTTACTAGAGGAATAAACTGGCAGAAAGTACTCAGTCTTTTACTAGAGGACTAAACTGGCAAAAAGTACTCAGCTAACAGAGGCTTATTCACTGAGACTAATGGGTAAATTGTGTTGGGGCCAGCTCTCTTATAACACCTAAATATGTTTGTTTTTTATAAATCACTTTAAGCCATGCCAGAAATCACAGGCTTTCTTGTAAAACTGCTGCATTTTATTTGGCTCACTAGGAAATTCCAAGATGGAGCTCAATAGTTGTATTATTCACCATAATTGGTGTCCACGTGTGAGGTCAAGAGATCCAACAGAACCAGAATAAGTTTGTTTTCCCCTCTTTCTCTCTCAATGAACTTCCAGTAAAACAAGAAGTTTGGAAGGGGCAATCAAAAGCCCACTCCAGTGTACGTACAGTATTGAAGACATCAAAGTATATATCACACATAATGGGGTATAAACCTGAGCTATTGCCCTAATCTTAGCTAGGACTGTCATCTTTACCTCAGCAGTGCTGTTTTACCTTAAATAACTGACTTTTTTTAAAAAAAATGACAGCCTACAAGAAATTTAACACTTGTTATAAACAGGAACAGAAGAACCAAGACAAACATAGGTATCCATCTGACAAGAATCCACATTTGTTAAAGTCAGAAATAATCCATGGAGTGTATTTAAAAATTGTGTGAGGCGGGATATGCCTGACAGTGAAGGAGACTTGAGGGAAGTTCAGGGGAAGTGACTGTGACTCACCTTTATCCAAGGCTCTGTCCATATCTGAAAAACATATATGAGATAGTTGGAGACATTTGGCATCCTGTACAGGATTTTGTGACTCTTCCAACTACTTCCCTCCTTTTCTCCCCTCCCCCCCCCCGCTGCCCACTATCTCATCGGCAAACCTGAACTCAACGTCAGCTTACTCTCTTACCAATCCCATATTCTCAACAAAATGTATTGTCATGCGCTTGAATCTATGAACCAAAATAAATTATTGGGTATCGCTGGCAGATGTTCCAGAGCTGCCTGGGAAACTCATTTTCAACAGATTTTGAAAACAAAGGATTTCACCACCGCCACTACCCTTCAATGTGCATACATCCCTATGCCAAAGCTTGGCAAAGTTACCGGTACTTTGTAGGCTACAATGCTCAATACTTATTTGAGGCTGGGGGATTCTCAGCTTTGGACCTGAACTTCGCCTTAATTATACATGTCCTTGATTAGAGTCCAAAGATGTAGCTAACCTTGGGTATAAATGTGCTACCCATTCTTTAAAGTGATTTAATAGTTTTACTCCAACTCCAGAGGAACCTTGGAAAAATTAGCTTAGAGCATAGGTTTCCAACCTGTGGGTCACAACTCTCAAGGGGGTTGCAAAGTGTTTTCTGGAAGGCCATCAGGCTTGAACAAAGCAGAGGTGTCTCTCCATCTGCCTGTGATGAAGCTAATGGGTTAATAGTTGCTTCACTTTCTCAATAAGGGATATTGAGCAGTTTCTCAATAAGGGATAAAGGCACTGAGTTGAGTTCTTAGAGAGGAAAGGAGCCAGCGGGGAGCAGGATGGGGGGGTGCGGTCAAAAAAGTCCCTTCTTGACTCTTTTTTCCCCCTTGAGAAAAGCAGCGTTTCTCCTTCACTAAGGGATGCCTCTTCCCTCTGGGATCTGGGGATTCCCTCCCCAGTTGTTCCTGGGGGTGATGTTGGTGAGTCTGTCTCAGTTTGGCTAGAGGGGAGGCTAGGAAAAGCTCACTTGGCTATTATAAAAGGGGGTCCGTGACTTGAAAAAGGTTGAGAAATACTGGTTTAGAGGGAATGAGAACTAAAGAAGACAAGCAACTGATAGAGATGGAGAACAATCAAAATAAATTGGCCCAGATGCTCAGTAAAACCCAGGTAACCAGATAATATGGCAACAAAGGCCTGGGGTGGGAACATATTTTGAGTAGGTGACACCACATACCTGGCAGGTGCAGCTAGTGATTCTACTTCCAATTGGATTTAAGTCCCATGCAGTCTTCACACGCACACACATACACACACACACACACACACACAACATAGGAGGTACTTCTTGGCCATGTGGGAGGCTCACAACTGAGTCCAGGACAAGTCATCTTTTTGCAAACCCTCTGCAACTACTTGTGGTATGAAAAGTTTCATGAGTTTTGGTGCTGGTGCTCCACTCCCTGCCTTGTGCCAAATGTTGCAATGGGCCCAAGGCCACACATGTTTCCTCTCTTCCTTGTGCCTGTCCCTTGCTGTCGGCTTTTTCATGCACCAACATTGTGCAAGTGCAATGTACAAACAGCCTCACAATGAATCAGTGAGATCCTGAGGTCTGCTCCTTGGGCTATCTGTCTTGAATCTTCATGCAAAATCACAAAGCTTGGAAAAGTTCCCTTTTTGGATTACAACCCCCAGAACATAGCCAGGCTGGTTGGAAGACTGCATAAGTAATAGTTTAAAAAGTAATTTTTCCAAGTTTTGAAAATCAAGGTCCAGTTGCCTATATATTGGATGAGTCTCTTACCTCTTTCACAACAGCATGGATTTGTCAGGACCAGAGAAAGCAACAGCAGTATAAGAAAAATCTCCCTCATCTTCCACTCTTCTTAGAAAACTCTGCTTATGCCTGGAGCGTCTCTTTAGGATCCAGCAGCTTCTCAGGAACCTTTGCTTTTCAGCAGCATTTTATATTCTGTCCCTAACTAGAGCAGGCCACAAGCCAGGAAGTCCCTGACATTCTGCCATGTTCTTGTGTCCTGGTTCCAGTTCCAAACTTCCTATTTGGGTCAAGAGAGACATCTGGTTCTGGCAGCCATTTGCACATCTGCCTTCAGCCAGAAAGGCTTGTGGAATTTCCAAAGGGCTGTAAAGACTCTTGTAAACTTCATGCAAAGGCAAGAAAACAGCTGAATGACAAACATCCTGCTGAGGAGCAAAAAAGTAACTTCTGACTGCTGCGGGGAGGAAAGACAATGGTAGCTTCCCAAAGGTCTTGTCAAACAATAAAGAGATCTGCACACACAAAATAATAATTCCACTCTTTTCTGACTCACTCTTGGGACCCATTGTCTAGTTCCGTGGTTCCCAGTCTTCTTGGACTGCAATTCCCAGGAACCCTAGCCAGCATAGCTAGTGGTGAACACTTCTTGGAGATGCGGTCCAAGAACACCTGGGTTACCCAAGGTTAGAAATCACTGGTCTAGATGCAACACTGTATCCAATAAAGTCCAGCTAATAAAAGATCTTATTCTGGAAAATGATGCAGATCTGGCTTGCATAACCAAGATGTGGATGGGTAGTGAAGTACCCCTGTCTCTGGCCTGTCCCCCCGGTTATGCTGCCCAGCACCAGGATAGACTGGAGGATCGGGGTGGGGGAGTTGCCATTGTTTATAAGGACACCCTAGAGGCCCTCCACATGTTGATTGGGGCCAGGGATGGTATTGGGATCTTGTTGGCATACCGTGCTCCCTGCGATCCAGCCACCTCCCTACCAGAGCTAACCGACTTCATATCCACGGCTCTGTTGGGATCCCTGAGACTGATTGTCTTGGGCAATTTCAACATCCACGCGGAGGTGGAGGTTACCGGTCCGGCTCTTGAATTCTTGGAAACCATGGCTTCCTTGGATATGTCCCAAAATGTTAACAGCCCCACCCACGTGGGTGGCCACACTTTGGACCTGGTTTTCTCCACTGAACAGACAGAGTGTGGACCGATGGTGACTGACCTTCGGTTGGTCCCCTTGTCAGGGTCGGACCATCACCTTATAAAGTGCAACCTCACAATCACCCTCCTTCCCTGTGGAGAGCAGAGACCTATTTTCATGGTCCGCCCTCGCAGGCTACTGGATCCTATTGGATTCCAGGATGCCGTGCATGGGATTCCGATTGACCTGGCTGGCGCTCCTGTCGAGGCCCTGGTGGATGGCTGGTATGCCACAGCTGCCAGGGCTATAAACACGATCACTCCTAAACGCCCTCTCCGCTGCAGAGCCCGACCAGCACCTTGGTTTAACCAGCAGCTGCAGAATAGGAGAAGGCTAGAGAGTGTTTGGAGGTGGAACATGATGGAAAATAACTTAAAAGCTGCCAAGGTCACGTCTAACTATCTTGCTAAGGTTGAGGCTGCTGGGAAAGCCTACTTCACTGTCCAGATAAGCATCCAATTAGCAGGCGGAATTTTTCCGTATGGTGTACGACCTATCTGGAATTGGCCACAATGATTGGCCTCCATCTAGCATTTCTTGTGACCAATTTGCAGCATTTTAAAAATCAAAAGTGGAGACCATCCGCCGGGATCTTGCACCCTATTTGGAAACAGTGGATCGAGCTGAGACATCCAGCGCAGTGCCTTGTCCATTGAGAATTACTCAGTTTCAACCTGTGACATCCACAGAGGTAGACAAGGTCCTTGATCGCTGCTGAGTCACCACCTTCTCCCTTGACCCTTGCCTGGCCTGGCTAGTCAAAGCTGCCAGGCCAGTGATAACTGAATGGGCCACTGAAACAATAATTGGGTCTCTTCTTGAGGAAGGTCTCTTCTTAAGGAAACACTCATTAGATACATTAGAAAGAAACTGAGTTTGGTGGTGGACAACATTGACAATTATATGCCCGTCGCCAATGTTTCTTTTCTCAGCAAGGTAGTTGAGAGGGTGGTGGCTGACCAGCTTCAGGCTCTCTTGGATGAAATCGATGCCGTGGATCTGTTTCAGTCAGGCTTCAGGCCATGCCACGGCACAGAAATGCCATTGGTCACCCTGCTGGATGACCTACTTAGGGAGACTGACAGGGGCAAAATGTCCTTGCTCGTCCTCCTTGATATCTCAGCAGCCTTTGATACCGTTGACCATGGTATCCTCCTGGGGAGGCTCTCCAAGTTGGAGATTGATGGCCTTGCTCTCGCTTGGCCCTGGTCCTTCTTAGAAGGCCATCCCCAGAGAGTGCAGCTTGAGGAGAATGTATCGCCCCTGTGGTCCCTCAGTTGTGGGGTTCCGCAGGGTTCGATCATATCCCCAATGCTGTTTAACATCTATATGAGGCCGTTGGAGGGGATGTGGGGATGTGGGGATGTTGGAGGGGATGTGGGGATGTGGAGGGGATGTGGGGATGTGGACATGAAGCTCCACATCTGGGGATGTGGACCTTCATGTCACCAAAGCATTGATGATACCCAGCTTTACATCTCCTTTTTTCCATCTGTAGTGGATGCCGTTCCATCCCTTGGGTGCTGCCAGGAAGACGTTCTGCAATGGATACAGTCAAATGGACTAAGGTTGAACCCGGACAAGACGGAGGTCCTGCGGGTGGGGCCCCCCGATGTCAGTGGTTTAGGGAACTCCCTCTCTTTTTTGGGGGGTGACTCTCACCACAAAGAATTCGGTTCACAGTCTGGGGGTCCATCTTGACCCTGAACTTACCATGGAGACCTGTGTAGCATCTGTGGTTTGGTCTGCCCACTTACATCTTTGGCGGATCACCCAGCTGCGTCCCTATCTAGACACAGGGCACTCAACATGCTAATCCATGCACTCATAGTCTCAAGAATAAACTACTGTAATGATCTCTATGTGGGGCTGCCTTTGGGACTGATGCAGAAGCTTCAGATAGTCCAGAACACGGCCACCAGGCTATTAACAGAGGTGAAAAGATTTCACAATATTTCCCTCACTCTGGCTGCATTACACTGGCTACCTATCCACTTCCACATTGATTTCAAGGTGTTAACAATTACATATAAAGCCCTTAATGGTTTAGGGCCTCTGGAACCCAGAGAAGCAGAGTTTGGAAACGCTCACCATGCTAATCCATGCACTCATAGTCTCAAGGATAAACTACAGTACTGTAATGATCTCTATGTGGGGCTGCCTTTGAGACTGATGCAGAAGCTTCAGATGGTCCAGAACACGGCAACCAGGCTATTAACAGGGGTGAAAAGATTTCACCATATTTCCCCCACTCTGGCCGCCTTACACTGGCTACCTATCCACTTCCACATTGATTACAAGGTGTTAACAGTTACATATAAAGCCCTTAATGGTTTAGGGCCTCTGGAACCCAGAGAAGCAGAGTTTGGAAAACTTACATTCTGGACTCCAACTCCCAGAATCCACAAGCATTGCTTAGAAGTTTGGTCTCAGGGTAATGCTGAAAGTTAAAGTGCAATCATTTTTGCACAAGTAACTATGTACCACTAGGGAGCGAGAGAGGTATCTACTGCCTCCCTAAGTGTCTTCTCTTTGCATCTAAAAAAAAAACATAATTCCTGAAAGCATATGCCAAAACAAAACCTGTGAGTCTTTAATATGCCACAAGGCTCTTCGGTTTGTCTGCTTTGTTGCTTCCTCACTGCTAGACTTACACTCACATGTCTGATTTTACTTCCTCTCACCTTTCTCTCTCTTTCGCATGTAACCAATAGTAACTGAACCTATCTTTCTCTCTCCAAAATAAATCAGTCCTTAATGGTAATAAATTTTCCTGTCATCAAAAACAGTATTTTCTCGGTGGTTCCAAACATTTCTTATGAGTCTAGCCTCCATATAGGCAAATCCTGAGAATGAAGGTCAGCAATCAACTGCTATAGCGCACATGCATTTCCTGTACTGCTGGAGTATGTGTGCTAAGGAAGTGAAGGGAAAGAGGCTGATTTTTACTAAACAATACATAAGTAAATAAATAACATCCAGTTTTCCTTAGAACAATTTTGGCAATTAAACCAAATGCCTGGTTTTTACATACACACCATTCTGGCACCTGATGGTGCAGCAATTATAGTGTGGTGGAGAGAGGCACTCTTGATGCTCATAAAAGCAGAAGTTTCTTTCTGGATCTCAAGTCACCAATCCAGGAAGGGATGAACTTGGTTTGAATGAATGAAGAGCAACTTTCTCAAGATGTGTTGTGGAGTGCCAGATACTGTCTTGTAGCCATGACAGAAGCCTTGCAGAGCCATTTGATCAGACAAAAGATACTGTATATACTTTGTGTATATGTACACATACAAATGTGGTACTGCAAGTTAAACTGCAAAGCCTCTGGGCTGCAAGGTTGAAACACCAGCAGTTCAAAAGCATGTAAATGTGAGTAGATAAATAGGTACCACCACAATGGGAAGGTAAACGGCGGTCTGTGTCTAGTCGCGCTGGCCACGTGACCACGCAAACTGTCTTCGGATAAACGCTGGCTCTACGGCTTGGAAACGGGGATGAGTACCCCCACCCCCAGAGTTGGATACAACTGGACTAAATGTCAAGGGGAACCTTTCCCTCTCTCTCTCTCTCTCTCTCTCACACACACACACACACACACACACATACACACACAGAGAGAGAGAGAGAGAGAGGTAGGTAGGCGAACACAATCCAAGCTATGTGACATTGGTGAAACAGTTTATACTGGACAGTGAACATCTCAGAGATTTAGAATGCAAAGTAATAGAAATAGAAAAATACATTAACAGACAATAAGATACTGTTTTCAAACAGATATAAATGGTTTTAAATTTAATACCATGCACTTTTTCCTGTTTAAGGGCATGTTTGACTCTTCCTCTCTTCCTGCAGTTTAAAATATTATAGTCTATCAGGAAGGCTGAATTTAAAATCATACACATTGGAGATCACAGTTGTCTTCACAGATGATATCCATTTCCTGGAGAGGATGTCC